CATGGGAGGCAGTATAAAAACCGGATTCTAAAATACTATGTTTCTATAGGATATGAAAACATGAAGGTTTTAAAAGGAAATACAATGTAGCATTGGTTTTACTACAACCCATATGACTGCACAGAAAACATCTTTATTCTCCACATACAACTGAGTAAAGAAGGAAAGCACCCTGGTGTGACTAGCAATCTGTTTTGGACCAGATTATATGGCTCTATCAGCTGGCTTCCTTATCTGTCCAATGAGATTAGTCATTGTCACAATCATCTTTACCATAGAGAATGCTTTTGATAAAACGTAAATCATGTATATGAAAGCACCGAATATACAGAAGACCCATGTGAGTTTATTATTTTCATTCCTCCCAATTTCTATCGAAAGCTGTGAACTTGCTGTGGTTCACGTCAGTTTTTCAGGGTTCTCTTGTTACTTTCTGTCCCTTTCACACTGAATCTGGTCCGAAACAGGGGGAAAAAATACGAAAGAAAGCAAAACAACTTTTTGTTTTTGAAAATCCCAATTAAGCATTCCTGATGAATGCGTTCCCTATTTATTTCAGCCAAGAATATCTGTTACAAAAGTATGTGAGAGGGGAAAGGAAAGTATTCAAGGGGGGCAAGAAAGGCTGAATGGTTATCACAAAACTGCGCAGAGAAGACAGATGATGGAATATGCAATGTTAGTACCAAGTCAGTTATAAAAAGAACAGTGACCTCTATCTCCTGACTTTGGACTTAGCAGCCAAAGGGCAATGAAGGTATATTATGATGCCCATTTTTCACTTTGAAAGCAGATGGTGAGCAGTATCTGAGAACATGAAATTGTATACCTTTCTAGATAATTCTGCAAGACTAGATAAGACCAAAAAATATAATTCTGAGCATATAAGTAATCCAATAAAATCAGATTTTATGGCCTCCCTCCTCTTCATAACTGAGCAACATATAAAATCAAAGATTCAACATAAATGTTGGAAAGATTTGTGTGTAGCCTTTTAAATGTATTAACATGTAAATAGTTTATGTGTGCCCCAAATCTATTATTAAAGTTATCCTTATTTGTAGCCAATGTGTTTTAATATTTGATAATAGGAGAAAAGAATTTATCACTAAATAGAAAACAAGAAAAAGAAGTATTTCTTAAATTCTAAATATCTTATATTCATATATTGCAAATCCAATTTAGCTACAATAAATAGTTCAGGGAATGGATCTAAATTTATGGCCCTACATATTTAACTACGTGGTATCACAGATAAAAACAAGAGTCAATGTATGTATTTATTTATCTTAGCCTTTAGAAGACTAAGATTCAGGTGGTGATGTAACTCGACAAAGTTCACAAAGCTAATAAGTGCAGCAGAGGGATTTGAGTCCAGAGTTTTCTAAATTCAGCATATCTATCGCCTCATCAACGATGGCTCATCTGAGAATGTGTGTTCACAAAGGAGAGCTGTGAAGCCCACTACTAGAAGGGCAGAGTGAAGTCAACCAGTGGTAGTCATTGAGTGTGTGCTTTTTATTCAGTAGGTGTAAGGAGCCACTCAAATTGTGTACTAGGACAATGACCTGTTGAAGAAGACTGGGTTATTGTTACAGTCAGATATCATTTTAAGAAAAGAAATGAAACCTTTCCTCCTCTAAGAATGTGTTCTGATCAAATGATGATCTTCTTGACCAACAGGTTCAGGTACACTGTTCAATGAAAGTCGCTCTTTCCAACTTCTGAATTTCTATTTATCATGATCTCCTATATCTGGATCATGTCTCTAAAAAACAGTTTCCTGTATTGTGAAAATTCAAGGCAGCTTTTATGAAATCTGCTAAATGCATTTAAAAAAATGAAATAACCCAGAATGGTTAAAATTTTAAGGAAAAGGACAAAGTTGGAGGCCTAACACTGCCCAACTTCAAGACTTAAGACAGTCTGCTATTGGTGAAGAAAAAGACAAACAGAACAGTGGAACAGAATGGACAACCCAGAAAAAAGACCACATAAATATAGCCAACTGGTCCTTGACAAAAAGGAAAGGCAATGTAATGAAGCCTGGACAGTCTTTTCAACAAATGGTGCTGGAACAACTGCATGTCAACCACATGCAAAAAAATTAATTTAGACACAGGCCTTATACTCTTCACAAAATTAACTCAAAATGGATCACATACCTAAATTAAAAACACAAAACTATAAAACCCCTAGAAGATAACAGAATAAAATCTAGGTGAATTTGTTTTGGCAATGACATTTTAGATACAATGCCAAAGGCAAAATCCATGAAAGAAATAATAAGTTTGGCTTCTTTAAAATTAAAAATTTCTGCCATGCAAAAAAATACTATCAAAAGAAAACATTTACAAAACATATACCTAATAAAGGACTTTGTAGATCCAAAATGTACAATAAAAACCTTTAAAACTCAACAATAAGACAATAAAAACCCCAATTAAAAATGGGCCGAAGACCTTAACAGACCCTCATCAAAGGAGATATATAATAAGCATGCAAAAAAAATGTGGTGGCACTAGGTTTATGAAAATTATCTGTATTTTACTCTCAATTTTGTGTGAACCTAAAGCTGCTCTAAAAATAAAGTCTATTTAAAAAGAGAGAGGGAACCAAAGATAAATAAAATATAGTCATACTGTTTCTTATACATTTAATATTCTTGTAAAAAATGCTTAGCATTTCTTATCCTTTTAGATAGAGTCAAGAGAAAATATATTCATGGACAACAAAGCTCCATGAGATCCTCTATAGAATACTATTGCGAGTGGAGGGCAGTGACAGGTAAGGGTAAGATATAAATGAATGTGTAATACAAGCATTCACTTAAAGGCTACGCTTGTATGCATAGGTAGAAAATTGAAACAGCTTTAAAATACATACTCACTGACAGTGAGCCCAAATTAGAATAGAGTAATAAGTGCTATCCCTTGACAAGTGTAACATAGATAGCTCTGGCTTATGCCACTTCAGAATGTAAAAGATAACCTAGAACACCACTGTCAGGGGACATGGATGTCTAGCTTGCAGTCCAGATCAAACAAAAAGTAAGAGAAAAAGTTCCCACATGATGTTATGTATAAACTAGTATAAAAGTGATTTATGTAAGAGATACTGTTTATGTTGGAAAGGTATAACAAGGTTATAAACAGCTTTTATTCAGTTGGTTCAATACCAATGCAAAGCTCATGCCTTAAATGGCTCCATGAGTGGTTCATCGGGAGCCAACTACAAGTCTACAAATCTGTTTACTTTAAAACAAGACAAGAACAGGCTGGTTCATTGTTCATGCATCTTTCTGAGGAACAGATATAAAACTTTCTAAGGGAACATTTCTATCTTCCAACTGTAGCTTTGTTGGCTTTCCTAAGCACCTAGATAATTTTTCTAACTTTCTTCTGAAAAGATCCATAAACTATTAACAGAGGTTTATTTTAAAGAGAAGCATCTGCATAGGCTAAAGTTAAGACTCAGATTTTTGAAGGGCAATTAAAATACTCTTATTATTTTCGGGGAATATGCAAATAAATTCTGATTTGATGATTCCAATTTTAAACATTCCATAGAAGTGATTCCCAGAGGAATATCTAGTCTTAAACTCAGCTTTTCAGATTTTTTAATTATAGAGTTTCCTTTCTGAAGACCCAATAGAAGATATGACACTATGTCTTCTTTACTCCACAGTTTCTTCTGTTGCTTTTAAGAGATAACTGTCCTTGAACAGTCTCCCCTCACTGGGTAGAGCAGACTAGTTGGATTCATAGGAAACTTTTTTTTATTTTATCTCCTGTGTACTTTGTGTGTTGAGTATGTTAATGGTGATGACCAATCTTGGATAACAGGTTATATAAAATACAAACATTGTAATCCTTAATAAGATAAACTATAATCAGAAATACTGAACGTAAAAACAGAATATAACACTGAGAGAAGTCTTAATGATAATTTGGTCTAAAATCTTATTTCATACTAAATTGAAATATAAAATAATTTTATATTTGGATATGAGGTCCATTAAAATCAAGTAACTTTATCATCTTTACAATTCTAGTTACTGGCAAAGCCAAGACCAGATCCTCAATCTTGATTCCATTTCTTTTTATTACATTACTAGAATTCTGAAAACAAGTTATTTACAGCCAACCATGAAAAAGAGGAGAATTGGTAGTCTGATTAAAAATGGTAAACATAGGATTAGAGATATTACACTGCATTCCAGTAATGTAATAAATGAAGCTCCCTGTGTTCTTCCTTATACAAGAAAGATAAAGGCAATGGATTCAAGATCAATTTATGGAAGTTGGGGAAAGACACCACCTCTGCATTGAAAGTGAATGTTTTGGCCCTGCTGGTGTGGCTCAGTGGTTGAACATCAACCTAGGAACCAGGAGGCTGCTATGCCAGATCAGGGCACATGCCCAAGTTGCAGGCTAGATCCCCAGTGGGGGCACGCAGGAGGCAGTCAATCAATGATTCTCTCTCATCATTGTTGTTTTTTATCTCTCTTGTCCTCTCTCTTCCTCTCTGAAATCAATAAAAAAGAAAGTTAATGTTTTGGGTTCCATGTAGGCTTCGGGAAAATTAATATAAATACTTTTGAAAACAGAAATAGTAATCCAAACCAGTAATATTATTTCTCCTCCCCCCACACCAAAAAAAAAAATCTTCGGATAATTGGGATTTGAGAAGAATGGTGTTGCTTTCTGAATCTTGTGCCATTGTGGACATGCAATAATTAGCATTCGCTGTTGGAATGATGAAGCAATCCCTTTGCTATGTTATTCAAAAGCCTTGACTCCCTATTTTCAGATTAAAATGAAGACTAAAAGACTGAACTTGACCCTGTCTGAACGTCTGTGGGCTATTTTCCCCTCAAACAACAACCTCACCTAAACTCCTAACTTTTAAACTGCTAAAACCATGGAAACATTAATAATGACCCCCTTCATTAAACCTCAACTTCCCCTCCCACTTGTACTTTTGACCAGTTTACTCACTTCAAAGCAAGCAACAGCATCCTGTTCAGCTACTCAGCAGGACCTCTGTATCTTCACCAACACCTTCAACCAAAAGCCACAAGAAACTCCATGATCTCCACATTCCTCCTCCTCCAGGGACGGCAATTACGTAACCTCCAATTTTTTAAATTTTATTTTTTTATGTTTTCAGTTGCCATGGGAAAGACTGTGTTTGGTCAGCTCCATCAGCAAGGGGTAATTACTGGCTTCTCCTACACATACACACCACACACCTGCAAGGCTGCAAAGAAAAATAATACATAATTAAAGAATTTTTTCAAAAAGGCCAAGCAAGTGTCAACCAAACAATGTATCGCTCTGCTGCTGGTAGAAATAAACAAGGGCAGCTATATATTGCCAGTTAAACTTGGCATTTTCAGTTGAAGTATTAAAAGCAATTAATATTTCCTCCTAATTTAATATTTGTCAGGAACTATGGACTAAGCACTTTAAATGAGCCATCTTTATATGGGTAAGCTCCATAAGTATAAATTTATAATTCTAACTTTTACAGAAAATTAATGAGGTTCAGAGAGGTTGAGTAACTAACACAGGGCTAATTAGTGGTGGAGCCAGGATTCAAACCCAGAGCCCACAGTCTTGCTGGCCTGGCTTGTCACTTGTGGTGTGTGACCACAGCCTGTGTTATAACTCCAGCTAGCTCCCAGGCTGGTACATTGACTTGCTGAAGGGACTCAAACTATCACTCAAACACCTCATGAAGCTAAAAAGAAAAAAAAGGCAAAAAAGAAAAAAGAAAAATATTGTTGGTACCAAAATGCATAGGACCATAGGTCACAGCAGTCAAAAGGATTCTCTGTCATTATTCCAGTACCAAGTAAGTATGCATGTGTGACATTCAAATCGTGTGACCTTTTCCTTTGTCTTAATCTTTTCATTTCCTGGAGCTAACTTCTCGATGTTAACAGTTCTTGTTCATAAAAATACTCTCAGCTAAAGTACATCATAAAGTTAACTTTGAGTCTTAGCAGATTTGTGAGTTCGGAATAATGAGAAGAGCAGTTGATCTTCTTTTATTTACTTTATTTTCCTGGGAGAAGAAATATTTTACTTTGGCCTCCTTGTTAAATTAGGTAATTATTGAGATTCTTGTAATCCTTACACTGGGGTTCTGATTCCTATGGATGCAAGGTATAAACAAGTCCCAAAGAAGTCTATGTTAATAGTGTAAAGTTTAAAATATGATTAAAAGAAATAGAGCCTTAAGGTAGGCTGGAAATATTAATCGTTCTGTCTTTTAATATGTCAGCATACACTAGCCCAGTTTTCGGAAGGGCCAGACTCATCCTGCCCCCTCCCCCAAAGTCCCTCATCTCCCTTAACTGCACCTATCATAGAAGACTCCAGACAGGGTAGAGCCCAAGGCCACCCCTTCTCCATCAGCATAGCAAGTCCGGCCGTCACAGTGCTGCCTGTGAGAGTTTGGTAAGACTCTGGCTCCCGGCCCTTGGCCTCATCTGACCTTGTCTTTCTGCCATATCACTCATCTCCTGGAAAGGAACCTATTTCCAAGCCTCTTCCACACCAGCAGCAGGAAAGGAATTTCGAGTCTCTTGAGTGTTAAGTAAACTGGGTAGAAAAAAGTCCAGCCTGGCTTCCGTAGGAGGGAGATGAGATGGAGGGCTGGGGAGCAGGGGGGGAATACAATGATATACTTTCACTTTGCCAAATTCCCATCCCTTTTCTGGCCTTCAGCAATGCCAGGAGAGAAAGCCAAAAGGAGGTGGGAGGATAAGTGGAAACAGCTCCTCCTCTTCCCTTGCGCTTCCTGGCCGGCTCTCTGTAAACACGTCTTGGCCACCCTTCCTTCCCCACGCGGGAGCTGGGAGCCGCACAGGCTTGTCTGGCTGCAGGGCCTCCAGAGCCGGTGCCTCTGGAGCTCCCTGAGGACCTGGGCATGAGGGTGGTCAGGGAGGCCACAGGGTGGATTCAGGGGAGCCGGTCCAAGGACATGACCTTTCCCTCAACAACTAGAGCTGTTGGCGTCGCTTCCCAGAGGTGAGAGGAAGGGTGTTCAGATGAAGTCCTTCTCTCAGCACTACATTTTTTACCTTCTCCTGGGGAGCAGCTCAAAGGACTGAGGTGGAGTGCAGGCCAGCAGTGCCCAGAGAGGGGAGGGACTCGCCTGTGGGAATGAAAGGCCCGAGGGAGAGCAGTGAGGTTGTGGTGCTGAAATCCCTGCTCGCGGACCCAGGGCCAGAGCAGAGCTTATAATTAAAAGTAAACTTGGCAGCTGCTCTCTTAACACAGGAGGCAAAAAGTTAATGTCTGATGAGCTGGGGCCCATGCCAAACTCCAGCTCAGCGCCGCCCCACAGGAGACTAGTTCAAAGGAATGAGGTCTAGCGGTGGCAGACCAACCCAATTCTGGGCTTGGGAGCCCCAATTCTGGGCTCGGTACCACTGTGCCCGTCTCTTCCACAAGCTCTGGGCACCGTCATCAGTGCTTTACTGATACATCTTGCCCACGAGGCAGAGCTGAGGGCGGGCCTTTTCTGGGCTTCAGATGTCCCCGGCTCGGTATGCTAGGTCTGTTCTGTCTAGTAAGCTGGCCACTAGAAACATGTGGCTCTCGAGCACTTGAAATGTGGCCAATCCAAATTGAGAAGGGCTCTGAGTTTAAAATAAGCAGCAGATTACCAAGACTTAGTGTGAAACATAAAGTAGATTATCTCAATTTTTCATTTTCATTACGTATTCATATATTTAGGTATGTCAGGTTCGATGAAATGTATTAAAATTAACGTCACCTATTTTCCTTCCTATTTTTTTTAACATGGCTACTAGAAAATATGTCACATCAAATATACAGCTTGCATTATATTTCTAATGGACAGAACTGTCCTGGATATTTCATTAATGCTGCTGAATGAATCAAAGAAGGAATGCTGACTTTAGCTCAGCATTGATATTTTTTTAATCCACATAGAAGTAGTCCATAGAAATGGTTAAAAAAGAGTGAGGCATCGTTGTTCTTTGAAATAACTCTGTATCTGGAGCTACATTTAATTCTGAGTCACTTGCTCTGAGAAAATGCTTACTAACCACCCAGGACTCCAAAAGGATGAGAGGGCGACGGACTGTCGGCCAGGCCACACCACGGAGGCCAAACTGGACCTCCAGGGCTAGGAGACAGCAGCGCAGAGGACAGCACACTCTTCCCAGCACACACAGAACTGTCAGAGGAGATCAAACAACTCCTCTGGGAACCCCATGGTTTCCCAAGCTTCTCTCCATCCTAAACTAACTATTACCTCAGTCCGTCTGTTTGCTTTTAATATGCTCTTTAAAGCTGCTTTAAGAAACTTCATTACACATCAAAATCACTATGATTTATCACCCCACACACATCAGGATGTCCCCTGTTACAAAAATTAAAATAGAAAAATAACAAGTGTTGATGAAGTTGTGGAGAAATTGGAAGCCTTGTGCACTGTTGGTCTGAATGTAAAAATTTACACTCCCACCAATAGTGCGGGGATGGCAAACAGTATGGAGGTTTCTCAAAAAGTTAAACAGAATTAACATATGATCCAGTAATTCCACTTCTCCAAGAGACATCTGCACACCCACAGTCACTGCAGCATTATTCACAATAGTTCAAATGTCCACTGGCAGATGAATACATTTAAAAAAATGGGGTATATACAATGGAAAGTTGTTCAGCCCTAGAAAGGGAAAACCTGCCACATACTACAACATGGATGAATCTGGAGGACATCATGCCAAGTGAAATCAGCCACTCACAAAAGGACAGATACTGTATCATCCCACTTATATGAGGCCCCTCGAGTAATCAAAACCATCATCTTGCAGTACTGAAACTCTGTACCCATTGTTGTTCACCACTGTACACCTAACAATGGTTTAAATGGTAAATTCTATGTTTTGTTTTTTACCACATTAAATAAAAGGAAAATGCATAGCATAATCAATTTTACTGCTACTGAAGAATTCACAGTGAAGACCCTGATGCAGTCTAAAATTTTATCATCTTTACCAGAATAAAAAGAAGAAAATGTACTCAAACAGATATTTGCACACCCGTGTTTATAGCAGCATCATTCAAAATAGCCAAAAAGTGGAAAGAATCCAAAATGTCCATTGGCGGATGAACAAGTAAAAAAAAAATGTGGTGTGTGCATACAATGGGATATCATTTAGCCTTTAGAGAAATGAAATTCTGACGCCTGCTACAACATGAATGAACCCCGAAGACATCATACTAAGTGAAATAAGCCAGTCACACAGAGCAATACTGCACGATCCCACTACTATGAAGTATCTTGAGCAATCAGATTCAGAGTGACTGAAAGAAGAGTGGTAGTTGACAAAGGCAGTGGGAAGCAGGCTTAGGAATTACTGCTTAATAGGTAGAGAGCTTTGGCTTGGGAAGGTGTAAAAAGTTCTGGAAATGGATGGTGGTGATGCTTGCACAACAGTGTGGCAGTATATAATGCCACTAAACTGTACATTTGAAAATGGTTAAAATGATATATTAATGTTCTGTATATTTCTTTTTTTAAAATATATTTTATTGATTTTTAGAGAGGAAGGGAGAGGGAGAGAGAGATAGAAACATCAATGATGAGAGAGAATCACTGATTGGCTGCCTCCTGCACGCCCCCTATTGGGGATCAAGCCTGCAACCCAGGCATGTGCCCTTGGCAAGAATTGAATCTGGGACCCTTCAGTCTGCAGGCTGGCGCTCTATCCATTGAGCCAAACCAGCTAGGGCTATTATGTATATTTCACCACAATTTTAAAAAGAGAGAAAATGTTACAAGAGGAAGGATGAGGAGGCAAGAAGCCAGTTGAGGCAGGAAGATCAGAATGGCCCTTGGATTATCGAGTAGGAATTTACATTCATCCCCACAGGGCTGCCAGGAAATGCTGACGGGGCATCACTGCTTTCTCTCTCTCTAAACCAGACAGTGTCTGTGGGAGCATTCTGTCCCCCAGGAAGTGTACAACCTTTTCATTTTGCTGTTTGAACTTGCAGTGAGATTCAAAAGACAGACCTGGAGTGCACACACGAATGACAGAGAGGGAATGTGTGTGCACTATTTGGGGTAAGAATTATCTATTTCTTCCAATCCACCATTTACTAGTATATTCTTTGCCTGTGTCTACTCTCGCCTATGCCAAAGTCAATAACAACAATAAAAGTCAGCAGTACTGATGGTGAGAATATTCTTTCAAATACTGTAAATGTTATTTATAAAATGACCCTAGCAAGCTAATAATAACAAAGATATTAGGTCACAAGCTCTTTAAGAATCACAGCATTTATCATTAAGACCATTTCACAAATGAGGAAACTGAGGTTGATAAAAGCACTTGTCCAAGAACACCACGGAGACTTTCCCTCCGGTCTGACTCCAAACTAGAGTTCCTGGGCGCGGCGTGCGGGTGCACTTTGTAAATGAAGGCCACTTGCCTAGGACTATTAACAAATTAGAGGAAACAGAAGAATAAGTGGGGGGGAGGGAGGGCAGGAACTGGGGAGCTCATTCCATTGCCAAGGCAGGAGTGACACCTACCTACACCCACATAAGGTGTGAAACCTAACGTTTTAGGAGGACTGATGACCATGACAATTTCAACACCTTCTTACACCTTCTTTTTTAATTTCTAAAACTCTGCTGCATAAACAGGAACCGAGAGAAAATGACAACCTATGAAAGGGAATGTCTGGCTGGGGGAGGAGGTGACAGTCTGCTCTCTGCCAGCGCCCTTCTCGCTAAGTTACTCATTAAAGGACTTAGACTAGAGGAAAAGAAAATATCAGAGGGAAAACAGAGCTGTCCTCCAGCCAGGGTACTGGCCCCTCTGAGCGATAATTTCCACAAATTATTTGTGCTCCCGAAGATATTACGCTTTATATCAAAGGCGAGCCCAGGAAAAAGTGTCATCAGAGGGCTGAACTCTTAGTTCACAGCTTTAATTGATGTTTCGCCTAAACCCGGGTCACAGCCCCAACATGCTCACCATGGAGCTGAGATTATTAGTCAATTCAGTGAACATGGGACAGAAAAACTCACTAAGGAACAACAGCTCCCTGGATCTGTTCACGCATATCCTATCTCACCCAGAAATCCAGAAAATTACCGTCAGACACATCACAGGATCAAAGACTTTGCGCCCAGGAGAAGCTTAAAAGGGCACAGACTTTTCCATTTGCTCTGCTCTTCCCTCCACAGGATTATCTTTGGAAATCCCCAAGCATCTACCCCTGACCCAGCTTTCTCACACACCAGGCTGCCCACCCTCCCGTCTATCCCCATCCGTTTTTTAAGCGCCTGGCAAACACAAGGGGAAACAAAGGGCAAATGCCAGTCGGTGGCCTCTGTCTGGACTTAGCCAAGCGTGATATGTGAATCAGGTGTGTGGAATGGAAGTTTCCATGGCAACGAGACTTCAAGGCAGGCAGGGGAGTCGCATATTCTTTCTACCAAGGTAACAGAAACACGGAGGCCACCCGAGGGACGCTGAAGGGGGACACAGCGAGTTCAGAGTTCTCCGGTGACTGCAAGGACCTAGGTCCTCATTGTCTCCTCGCCCACGCTCTGCTGCTCCTTGAAATAATCCACCATCCCTCTTTAGGGGGAAAGGAAGGGACAAATTAAAGAAGTCTTCTCTAAAAGGAGTTGGTTATGAAAAAAAAATGTAGAAAGGACTACAAGAGAAAAGTGTTTTCTTTAGTAGACAACGTTGCTCTATTAGTCAACAGGTTCGGGAGCCCTGGCAGCCTGAGCCCGCGCTATCTACAGGGGCGCTTGCCTCTCCACCAAGCTTTGCAACATGGTCTTCTTGGTGAATCCAATCCGTTAAGGCAAAACCCCTGAGCTACATTGTGTTTTACAGATTTTTTAAAAAAAATTATGTTTGCTGTAGATAGATACTTTAACATTATTCTAAACTTTTAGAAAAAGTGTGTATTGTGGTTTTATTTTTCAAAGCTTGCTTTTTTAGACCCATGACTTGGAGGCAAAGAAAAAAGTAGTCAATTTTAATAAAATCAAAGTTAGCCTTGGTAATCCAGCTGGACAGAGGTAGTCTGAAGGTCAGGTCTATGTTGCCGTTAGGGCTGCTTAAGCTATTTTTCTAACTTGAGACCCAAGCCAGGTAAGACTTTCCACCTTGGTTAGCTCTGCCCTTCTGAGTCCTTCAGATGACTCCAGACACTGACCAAGAGAACTGCTGTCCTGCCTCTGCTAATGGCTCGAGTATGGCTGATCATCCTCCCCATGGCACCCGAGAAACCCTTCTGCCCTGCACGCTTGATCACGCCACTCAGGCTCCAGACCTTCCAGATGAGTCCTCATTGCAAATCTCTCATCATAGTTTCCAAACCCACACATGGCCTGGCATCTGCCTACCTCTTTAAGTCCCATCTTCTGCCATTTTCCAATTTACACTCTGCATTCCAGGCAAATTCAACTATTCTTAATTCCCTAAAGTTACCATTATCCTCTCTTACCTTCAGCCCTTGATGTTACTGATTATTGAGGGGGGGAATAACACCCCACTTAATTACTCCTTTCTTAATATCTCAAATAAGATATCACTTACTCCAGGAAGCCTAAGTCCTTGCAACAATTTCAGCCTTAAAGTCCTTCTAGGTGCAACCGCAGCACCCAGGCTTCCCCAGCTCAGCATCATCACCTAATTCTCTGTCAGCTTCGTGTCTATGATCCCATCCAAATCACAGAAGGAGCAAGAAGTGTGCCATGTTCAACCTGGGCTTAACTTGGAGCCCAGCGCATAGAAGGTGATCATTCAAGATTTACCAAAAACCATTGAATGAATGAATGATCACAACGGCAGGCGTGGCATGATTGATCACAAAGAGCACCAGCCACATCTGGGCTCAAGCCTCGCAGTCCGGTTCTGCTGCTTGTTAGTTCTGTGGCTTTAGTGAACCTCAGATTCCTGCTTTTCTTTTTTCTTTTTTTTTCGGATTCCCGCTTTTCAAGTGATGTAGCAATGCTTGCCCGTGATTATTATAACCATAAAAGAAGCATCAAATGAGTGTTTGTGAAATTCTTTGTGAACATTTTAATAAGTCTATGTAAAATGTCATTTCCAAGAGGAGGCTAAATAAGAAAGAGCAGAAAGGAGAAGTGCTCTGAGAGGCAGAATGATTGCAGGGACAGAATCTGAGGAAGGAAACTGCGGGGCTATAGATATTCATGGTATACTGCCACATATAGCATAGATTGGCTTCTTTTTATTTTTTCTTTAAACTATGAGAACATATGTAGAAAGTCACAGAGGTAGAAGAAGTGAGTCATAGAAGAAATGGGCTCAGGAAATAAGTTACAGAGGCAACAGAAGGGCTCTTGGAGCTTAGGAGAGAGAAAGGTAAAGGTAATATGCCTAGGAAGAGGGGGATGGGGAGGGGAGAGGAAAGGCACGTGCCTGCTCCAGGGAGGGAGAGCGCCTACTTCTTTCTGACAGATAATTATGTTCCCCTCTTCCCCATTTGGGCCCAGACATTCTTGTTAGCCTCAATTTTCCACTTATATGCCATGTTCATGTCCACCAAATACTACTATGTACTAGTAACAGTTCTTGGGCCTTAGTTTATTCTCCTTCCAACTGTTAAATACCCTCTCTTTCCCCATGCTCCATGTGAATCTTACCAATATATCATTATCCATAATCATCCGCATCTATAAGGCCTTTCTTGAATAAAGTAACTCAGCCACCTCTCTCCTCCTGATCTTCTAGTGCCATAAGGGCCCACGTTTCACTATTCAGTGCTTTCTCTTTATTCTTCACACATACGTGCCATGCCCTTTCTAAAACGTGGGAGGATCTCGCACATCTGAAGAGCCAAGTCTGGGTTAAAAACACGTGGAGCTGGCAGAGGAGGTGAGAGGTAAGAAGTGTACTAAGAATTAGAAAATCACATTGACTGGTCTGCCAAGAAACCAAAATCATATAATGAAAAATGAGGAAATTAGCTAGCTAGCCAGTTTCTGCACTCCAAGATTCTGTGGTAGTTGAACATGACACATTACGAAGAGGGCATCAGGTAATGTTTCAGTGAGAAGGGAGCAAGTAGAGGACACGGTTTCCCAAGTAAATATACCAAGTGATTTCTTATCCTGAAGAAGAAAACCAATAAGAAGAAGAAATGAAAAAGCAAAAGGAAATGGAAACCAGATGGAAAAAGAACCACCAGAGTGATCAATCAACAACATTCTGCTGAGTACCATTGTCCCGTGCATGGGAAGCTGTTTTAGGTGTGTGCTTGGGGTACACAAGGCGGGAAGGTTCTATGCAGAGAATGAAACAACAGCTTCTGTGCTTGCAGGGCCTGGCAGTCGACATAAGGTGACAAACATACAGAGATGGCAGCATAACTAAAGATTTAAGTCGGTGCATGAGAAGTGCCAAATGAGCACTGCAGAGTAAGGACAGATCACTGCATGCTGAAGTATTCAGGGGAGATTTTTCTAAAGAGGTGACCTAACTGCTCTATTTTTTTCCTTTCTTTTTATTAAATTTATTGGGATACATTGGTTAATAAAATTATATAGGTTTCAGGTGTACAGTGCTACAATACATCAACTGCATATTGTATTGTGTGTTCACCACCCCAAGTCAAGTCTCCTTCCATCACCATTTATGCCCCCTTTATCTTCTTCTACCTACCTCTGCCGGCTTTCTCTCTGGCATTCACCATACTGTTGTCTCTCTGAGTTGTTTGTTTTGCTTAATCCCTTCACCTTTTCACCCAGTCCCGCACCCTCTCCCCCTCTGACAGCTTTCAGTCTGTTCTGTGCCTATGAGTATGTTTCTATTTTATCTATTAGTTTATTTTCTTCATTACATTCCACATATAAGTGAGATCATGTGATACTTGTCTTTCTTTAACTGGTTTATTTTATTTAGCATAATGCTCTCGAGATCTATCCATGCTGTCAAAAAGGGTAAGAATTCCTTCTTTTTTATAGCTGGCTGAGTAGTATTCCATGGTATAGATGTGCCACAGCATGTTTATCCACTCATCTACTGATGGGCACTTGAGCTGTTTCCAGATCTTGGCTATTATAAATAATGCTGCAATGAACATAAAGGTACATATATTCTTTTGAACTGGTGTTTCAGGTTTCTTCAGATATATTCCCTGAAGTGGAATTGCTAGGTCATAAGGCAGTTCCATTTTTATTTTTTGAGGAAATTCCATCCTGTTTTCCACAGTGGCTGAACCAGTCTGCATTTCCACCAACAGTGCACAAGGAGTTCCCTTTGCTCCACATCCTCATCATCACTTGTTTGTTGATTTTTTGATGATAGCCATTCTGACAAGCATGAGGTGATTATCTCATTGTGGTTTTTAATTTGCATTTCTCTGATGATTGGTGATGCTGAACATCTTATATGTTTACTAGAGGCCCGATGCACTTGGAGGAGAGGGGGGAGGTCCCTCAGCCCAGCCTGTGACCTCTCGCAGTCTGGGAGCCCTCAGGGTATGTCCAACTGATGGCTTAGGTCTGCTCCCGAGCGGGATACTTAGCGCTGCTGCGGAGGCAGGAGAGGCTCCCGCCGCTGCCACTGCACTTGCCAGCCATGAGCCCAGCTCAGAGCTTCTGGCTGAATGGTGGTCCCCCTGTGGGAGTGCACTGACCACCAGAGGGAAGCTCCTGTGTTAAGTTTCTTCCCCCTGGTGGTCAGTGTGCATCATAGTGATTGGTCCTTCTGCCATAAAGTTGATTTGCATATTAGCCTTTTATTATATAAGGTGGAACTACCTGAGAGTCAATGTGCCCCACTGAGGAGTCCCAGATTGAGAGAGGGCACAGACCAGGCTGAGGGACCCCATAGGTGCACAATAGGAGCTGGGGAGGGAAACGGGAGGTTGGTCAGCTAGGGAGGGACCATAGGAAGGCACCAGGGAGTGTCCAGCCCATCTCACTCAGTCCTGATAGGCTGGACCCCAGCAACAAGCTAACCTACTGGTTGGAGCATCTGCCCCCTGGTGGTCAGTGCACATCATAACTACTGGTTGACCAGTCGACTGCCCCCTGAAGGTCAATGCACGTCATAGTGAGTGGTTGAGCAGCCTAAGCATATCATTAGCATATTTTGCTTTGATTGGTTGAACAGACAACCAGACAACCAGACACTTAGCATATTAGGCTTTTATTATATAGGATTGGCATCTGTATGTCCTCTTCACAGAAGTGTCTGTTCAGGTCTTTTGCCTGTTTCTTTAACAAGATTTTTGGGTGGATTTTTTTTATGTTGAGTTGT